CAGTGATCAGAGAGCCCCAAAGCTGCCCGTGGAACAGAGTGATATTGCATTCTTTTTTGTGGTGTAACAGTGATCCAATATATTACTGTCTCTGGTGGGACATGTGATGTGCTGTCTGTATTTTGGCAGTTCACGGGAGAGATTTGCTTTATTAAACTCCCCGAGAATGATTAAAACGGAGCTCACATGCGCTTGCGGAGGAATGTAGACACTGACGAGAATGAATGAGCAAAACTCCCGCGGTGAGTAGAAAGGCTTGCAATTAATGAAGAACACTTCTAGATCTGAACAGCACATCTCTTCTTTAACACAGTTACATCTGTACACCACCTCTCATTGATGTAAAAGCACGTCCCGCCGCCACGTGATTTCCCCATTGATTCTGCGTCGCGATCCGCTCTGAACAGCTGAAAGCCCAGGAGACTCAACGCGCTGTCCGGAATGGCGTCTTTCAGCCAGGTTTCCGTGAAACACAGAGCAGCAGAGTTTGAAAAATCCTTATTTGTCCTGGAGAGCAGAAGGAGGTTGTCCATTTTGTTGGGTAGAGAGCGGAGGTTCGCCAGATGGATGCTAGGCAACGGCATCCTGAATCCGCGCTGTCTGAGCTTCATGAGCGCGCCGGCTTGCTTCCCCCGCCTGCGCGTGTTGAAACGTCTGAACAGCGCCGCTGCTCCCTCGACTACAATGTCCAGCAAAACATCAGAATAATCGAAAACCGGTGAAATATCGGGTGGTGTGTACTTCCGAATGTCCAGCAATTTGTCTCTGGTGAAACTGATTGCAGGGATATAACTAAAGACAGGACAAACTAACAAAAACATAAAAACAACTGCGGAGCACGCCACAGAGGCAGCCATCAGCGTCGGCGCCATCGTGAACTGTGTCATCGCAGCATTGATGTTGATCTCTCAAAAGACAGCAGTTATAGTTACTTCAAGTCAGCAGTTATTTTTCACACATGCATCTTTTTATAGCTCCTAGAATGAGCAAATCAGCTGTGCATCATCTCTGGGATTTGGGCAGGAAATGACTGAATATGGTGAGTACTGACACCTGCACCTGTATTCACCAACACCATTTATCTAGAGTTAATGTTGACATTGTTTTGTCTGTTTGTTTGAAGGAAGATGAAGCCAGTTGATGAAGATATCAATTCAATGGCCACCAACTGCCGCACTGCTGCCTGAACCCATCAGGTATCTGCTGTGAAGACTGCATTCACGAACAGCTTGAATGTGACAGCTCAGATGTTACAGCACGTAAAAGTAAACTTCACAACTGAACAACAGCAAGATAGTTGTGGAGGGATTCTTTTGGCCCATATTTCCAACAACCTCCCAACAAGAATCAATGGTAAGTCAAGTGCAACAATTATAAATAAAAATACTCTATATTGTTTATTGATTTACCACACCCTAAATACATGTTTTGTCTCTCCAGGACATCTCCACCAGGTGATGTGTGAGGAGGACCGTCAGACTCATGGATTGTGAGCCATGGATTGCTCTCACCGTTACCATCAGGCAGATGTTATCGCAGAACCTTCACCAGCAGACTGCGAGACAAGTTCTTTCCACAGGCAATCAGACTGAACTGAACTCGTACCAGTAACACCACACCAGCCTCAT